AGCCAATGATCACTGTATGAGCCAAAATAAGGAGGATAAATAAGTTGTTGCTAAACAGAAGACGAGGGGTGACTTAATGAAGCTTATTAAAGGAACAAGTCGGCAAAAATAAGCTTCAAAAGTAGGAGATTTGATGATCATTCCAAACAAATGAGAATAATGATGCTTATCAGATTGAAGGAGTAACATAACCACGCCAGAAACTCTTAGCTTATTGCCACTACCCTCCATTTTGCTCTCTGGTCACCTTTGTATTTTCTCCGTGAAAACTTCACACCTCGTTCTCTTTATATATATAATCAACAAAAAGCTTAAAATTCACTTTTGCGGAAAAGGGATCATATACAAGGTAATGTTACTAACAGGAAATACCGAATGAATGCATTTGTCAATGTACCATGTTATTATTATTGTTGTTTTAGTTGTAATCATTATTAACTGTTGACATTTGTTTATTTGGTGGTCCAAGAATTCACTCAGTGATTTGGCATCAAGTACGGATCATAGCGTGATGTTAAACAATACATTCGATAGTCAAATAGTTAGTTAATCCCAAAATTGTTTTTCGTAAACGAGCTCACTACATTTATCCTATCTAATGATACCGACAAGGGGAGAAGAGCTAGGATTCTTCTCTTTTTACTTTTGGACTTGATCGCTTTACCTTTTGAAGTCTTCCATCCTTCTTATACATAGCTATTACTCTGTTCATTGGTATCAGTTTACAAACTTCCACATTTATTTCTCTTTGGTATCCCATTAATCCCCTTCAACTTCTGATGCTACCAGAAACAACTATATTCAATTGTCCAACAATAAGTATGATATGTATTGATATAAGAAGTTTCCTCAGTCTAACTGTATTATGACAAATTCATCTAGAACTGATTTGCGACCATCATTAAAATTAATCCAGTATTTTTTACAAAATACTGGGTCATTGCGAAATTCAACATGGGGGAAGCTCTGGAATACTTCAGTGAATATGAAGCTATATCTATTAATATAAACATCCATGTATTACATTCATTTCAATGAGCGTGTTAATTCGTGTTACACGATTACAATGATTCATACTTCCGCTCCATCTAGTGAAGAAATACCGCAACAGTTGTCGGATTTTTTTTTTTGCGTTCGAAACTAATTTGGTCCTCCGACTACTACTTATTTTTCTTATATTCATCGCAAATTCTACGGGACTTGTAAAACGAACCGTGGGAGAATTCAGTGAAGCGAAAAAATCGAAAATTTACGGCAGCAGTGGCTGGCTGATTAGAAGAAGGTAAAGAGATGTAGGAGTCCATTTTCAAATATATTATGAATAAAGCGATGAGGGTGGTATTCATCGAAGAATTTTTCCGAAAAAATTATTTCTGTTATATAACCTCTATAAAGTTTTTCAAGAACCATTTCATGATCTCATTAGCAGCATGACAATAACGATCATTATCATCACTAGAAATATCATCATCTGAGAAGGAATCCAAAGGGTAGTTAGTTCTCATCTTTTTCCCTGTAATGTTAGTTATGCAAATCTTCAGCCTCCACATCTGCTCAAGCATAATCTTTTTCCGCTCCATTTTCGCATTTCTGTTTTTCAGCATATTTGTGGATTTTTTCGTAGTTCTGTCTCTAATCACTTTTTGCTTACTACTTACTAACCTTATTAAATAATTTAAACTTCATTTGTTTTTTTTACTTTCATTCATTTTCAAAAGATATATGATGATGGGTCGAATAAGAAAAGATGTACCACTGAGTAGATAATGCATAAGTTGATTTTTATCAATAATGAAAAATATCACCAATACCGTTTGCTGCGATATAGGAATTCGCATATTGATTCATGAATTTCATGCTCGAATGCTTTCATTGCTTTTCTTCCTTGACGTTTGTATTGGTACCGTATCACTATCGATCATAACAAAGAATTCGTAAATTAATGCTGAACTAGTTCAACTTATATAACCATTATAAACAACTCACTCCATGATACTTCACTTTTGTACGTTTGGAAATAATACGTATTTGTGCATGTAAGTTATCGACGAAATGATGAAAGACTTGCTATTAAATAATCAATGATTCTACTTATTTAATTTAACAAAACTCTGAAAGGTTGTGAATGCTGGAGTAAGAATGATAAGACTGTCGATGAATAACAATCAGATAAAGTGATAGCTCATGTTTATGCAACTAAATTAAGCAATCATTAGTGAAGAATGTTCTATAAGTGTTGTTATCCAAAGACATCATCGAGAATCGTCCGTAAAAGTAGTAGAGCGATCAGAAGGGAAGTTTAGAAAGAGAAAAGATATTGTTAAAACAAGAGTAAGGAATGTAACAATCCAGGGTATTAATGATATTAACAAATACTGCTACTGAGAAGTGTCAACAACCAATGCCACTTCACCCTTATAGTAATCACAGGCAACTCTAAACAAAAATAGCTTATCCAGCACATCTTTCCCTAGACAATTTTTCAATTTGTCCATACCGAACATTCTGTTGTTAACAATCGGTTCTAACTTTAAGTCATACCGTGAACTTAAATTTTATTTGAATATTTCAAGATTTAATGGACGTTACGTGAAGAATAACGATGTAAAGACAAAGCGTTAGATATCGTCCCAGTTAATGAATGATCTGGTAAACATTGACAAAAAAAAAGGAAATCCTCTCTTTCCCGGTTCACTTTTTAGCGGAAATGAAGCACTTTATTGAATTCTTATTATTACATACTTATCATTAAATCTTTGTTTATGATATGACATTTAAAATTTTAGGCGTTTAAAAAGCGAAAAAAATAGTCCAATTTTCTTGGAACTTGCACTTGCCATTTGAGAAATTTTCCCAAGCCTGATCGCAGAAAGAAAATATTTCTTGTTGCACGTTACTGTCACTGGAGAATGTTGCTTAGCAATCCCAGAATTAAAACCAAAAAAAGTACATTTAGGATTTCGACTGGAATCACAAAGCCAAGTGACTAATTCCTTAGTACAGCTTTCCTCTTCGAAAAACTTCAATTTAAACTTCTAGCACTGAATAATGAAAATGAAACAATCAAAATGTTTACATGTAATTACGATAAACCCACCGGAAAGGGATGAAAAACTTTACACAATGGGATATAGGGATGGCTTACACTTGTTGATAACCAGCAAAACAAATGTACATTCATTAGCTTTTCAGAGTACCAAATATACAGGATTAATCAACAGCGACACTCATCAACAGGCGATTTTATGAAGGAACAATCGCTGAAAAGTATTGCAACTATTCCATTGTGGTATGTACAAAAGAGAATTTTTCTTAATAAAAGGGATAACACTCATTCAGCATTACTAATCCTAACATATCTGAGAAGTCTATTTATGTAATATACTCCCTTTCAATTACTTAATCCGGACACCAAAATTTGCATGGCATATTTCCTAAATAAGAAAAAAAAACATTCGGAAATGAATTAAGAGCTAGCAAAAAAAACTGCACTTCAGTTTTTGCAGATCTGGGATAAGCTAACTCAGTGGTATTAAGGCTCGTTTACATATTCTGATCTTGTGGACAACAGACTTCGCCACTAACTAATGAAGGAGAAGAAAAATGAAAAGAAGAAAATTTCAGGAGTCATTCAAACATCATACGGTATTGACCAAAAGCAAAAATTTGAGATGATCTGTTTCAGTATGAAAAACTTTGTTATGAAATCATTCTGGCAATGACGAAGAGTAAACAAAGGAATGCTTCAACATGACAAACTCTTAAAGAGTGAAATTCCGAACAACTGATAAGGTTTACAAATTAGTCCACGAACAAGAAAAACTTGAGAACTGTACAGTAATGGAAACTCGCTTATTCAGTGTAACATGTATGATCCTCAAAATATGCGAAGATCATTAATAATGAGAACATATTTAAAAGAAGAAATTGATTAATGTTTATTCACGCGCAGTGCGCTAAAATATAAGCAGAGAAAGGCTATGGTAAACATAACTAAATAAAGATAAGCTGTTTGGTTTATATTGCAAACCTGTGAATAACAAAATTGAATTTAAGCAACAAACACATCAGCTAAACAAGTACTGGAGTAATTAATGTAATGTAATAATTATTGAAAACAGAGGAAATGTGAAGTTAATGATTGAAATATACTGTCAAAATATGCAGGCAAGATTCTCTTGACTTATGTAGACTTTTTTTTCTAAAATGTGAAGCGCAATGCCAATGGCAAAGTCGAATGAAACCTTCCATTACAAAAAAATATATTACAGTATAGTGAAATATGAATAAAGCTCATCATTTTAAACTAAAATGAAAGGGATAGCCAGTAACAAGGAAAAAAAATCATCAATGAATGTACTTTTTCATCAGGAATTAAGTGAAATTGTAACGATTTTTAGTAACATCATCTTTTATAAACGAATCGAAAAGATCGTAACTATAATGTATACATTATTTTGAAGGACTGGGTGGACGACAGATAGCCATTATGATCTTTCCATACTCATATTTGAAGAAGATAAAACTATTTGACAGGTTCGTACACAAGATCTTCGAACACCATCTATACGGCGATAATACACTATGTTTGGATGAAAACAGCTGTGGTAAAGAAGCATAAGAAAAAATCCCTATAAGAAACAAAAAGTATATTCCTACTGTTATATACTCTTTATACGGTAAAGTACTGTGCTTATTTATCCATAGCCATGGTTAACAGAACTTGAAAATAATGAGAGTTCTCGAACTACAGAAGAATAAAAAGTCATAGTGTTTAGTCATTAGGGAATAAAAATTAAAGAAAAAAAGTGCTGTTTGAAGGAATAAAACCAGTCAATCTTTTATACTTTTACCAAATAGTATAAGTCTAAAAGCAAAAACGAACTAGGTGCTATTCAAGCAATTCATCTAAGAATAGAGATATTTTGACAAGCAAGGCTCTGATACAAAATAATTACTTTGAACAATCAAATTTGCTGCTGGATTATTAATCAAGATCTTCACATGCAAAAAATTACAACGATTTCGATTGCTTCAGTGCTGTACGCCACAGTATATCTGTAACGTGATCGACCTTCAGCCATGTTATATGGAGCAAAAAAGTGAACAGCTGCACAAATTACAATCAACCCCACTTCCATTGATTTGCTATTAGATTCTGTCTCAAAAGGCTAAAAACAGAAAAAAAGAATGACTTAGGCAAATATATGAAGATTTATGAATCAGGAATATAGATTCGATTTTGAAGCAATAAGTCAGAAGATTACCTGCAAGAGGACAATGTGTCCAATGGATATCATGAAATGTATTACAAATACAGCCAATATCCAATATTGATACTCAAGTATGAAGAGCACAAAACATATATATATCGTGAAGATACTGGAAAATCCGCCATAATAACTGAAATTAAATCGCGAAAGGTAGCAGATTCAATTATTTTAATTCTAATTAGTATTGCTGTTGAATAATGAAATCAACCTGTATTAAAGTGCCGCTAAGAGTAATATTCTCTTTATCAGGTCGATTCAACCGCAAGCTCCGATGCTGAATGACAAATGACCAGCAAGACAACAGAGAAAATGAAATTGAAACCATCTGCATCAACACAAAAAAAAGTCAAATGTTACAGCACCGGTAGAAATCAGAAATAAGCTGATAAAAGTGGAATATAAGCTATGAGAAACTGGTAAATAAAAAGTGCGTTGTTTTTCATACAATAGTGCTGACGATTTGTTTATCAAAGTGTAGGGAGCATTCATTTAGTAAGACACATTCCCTGCTTTCATAACAGAAAGCCGAAAACCAGAAAACTGTTCAGACAAAGTGAATTATTAAGCATTTGTTCATGATTTTTTCATTTTTTCATGAACTTCCATAATTTAAGCTAGAGGTGAAAACATACTCCATTTAGGAAAATTATTCGATGGATTGAGTGAATAAAATGCATGAACCAGTGCAACACCTTGAACAAGCATCTGAGGTACTGATTCCAAAAAAGCTTCAAAAAATCTAAAATCAACTGAATAATAAAATGCAGCTGTAGTCAATTAAAATCACTTACAGTGATACTAATTTTAAGGGCAAATCTTCATGAAGACATTAGATTTTTCCTTCCATAATTTTCTAGAGAGCATAAAACATGATGTTTAGGAAGAAAAAAAAAAGAAATATAACCTTAACAAAGCCGCATCCCTTCCTGCCTGAATCATAGTCATATATGAAGACAACTTTTCACTTCTCTTTTTAGCCACTCGAAATTTTATTGCGGCTAAAATTGCTTCCACATAAGAGATTACTGGATTGACCTAAACAACTGAGATAAATAATGCGTGGGCTGATCTTATCGGAACCAAGAGATTTAAAATGTTTGTGATGAGTCTTCAAAGTAATGAATACAAATACCACATCTAAAACTCAACATATTTACAGTTTCTTCAAAATAATAATAATGCCGAAATAGATT